GTGGCTCATAACCATCTGTAACACCAGGATACCATATTCTGGCCTCCAGAGACACCAAGCGTGCACACACACAGATGTAGACAATACACTCCTACACATAAAATGAATCTTTAAAAAATGTTTTTAAAACAAAATCATACGCAATTTTTTTCTCCAAAAAGCTGAAATGTGAAAGGATATGTATTAATACCTCAATACTCAGAACTTTTTAAATTTCGTTTTGTTTTGAATTTTGAAATAGCATCTCACTATGTTGCCGAGACTGGTCTCTAATTCATGGGCTCAAAGTGATCTACCTGCCTCAGCTTCCCTAGTAGTTGCAGGCACTGGGAACAGAACTGGGTGCCACAACTGACTAACAATGGAGAGGGTGGGGCATGTAGCTAGGCAGCACAGCACACCCAAGCATACGTCAAGCCGAGATGAAAAGGAAATGCATTTAACTATTCTACCTGCTACACTGTTTTAAGTCACTAAAATGGAAACCAATAAGTTTAGACAGAACTTCTTAAAGATGTTTTTAAAAAAAACTAAACATACAAAACTCCCGATTCTATATTTTAAGGATTTAAAGAAAAGAACCCTTTTCTAGTGCCTGAAGTTTTTAAACAGCCTAATACACAATATTACAGTGATACTGCGGGAGTAACTCATAATTTTACAGTTTAGAAATGTGCGATAATCTTTAGCATCTATGGAAACAAGGAATACTCACATATTTCCACTTTATTAGCATGACTCACTAAAGAACCATGGCTTTCCAAGAAGAGAAATCATACAACTCAAACATATTTTGTTGCTGCTTTCTTGCTTAATAGCTATGCAAAATACATCTGGTTTAAACGTCAGTAATGTACTGACATAATTTCTACGCAACTATTGAGACTAAAAGTTACTATTGCCAGATTGCTGTGGTAAGAATCACTTCAAAAATAAAACCACAAACACAAATTCTGCAGGGACAATCTCAAGGATACATTAGGCAAAACAAAAGTACCAAGTCCAACCATTCTTAGTATCTAACTCCAGCAAAATGAGCCAAAACATTAGTTCAGCAAAGACTAGCAAAACACACGTTACTTCATGTGTCATAAATGACAAGCTGGGAGGCATGACCCAGGTTATTACAACACAAAATCTACACTACAAAGGGGTAGCATGACCACACAAATGTTATGTCCTGAGGAAACATAACTGACGAGTGAACCCACCGTATTTGGGAAAGATATTGTAAAGTTAAGCAGTTTTCAAGCTGTTAGTATTAAGCATAAACGTTGAACTCACACCTCAGCTCCCTTCCAGGGTGTAGACCCACTGGCCTGAAATATCCCTAAGTATTGCTTAGCTTCTTTAACTTGAAACTGCTGGGCTTGCTGAGTACTCACTTCTTTTTAAATTAAAAAAACAAAAAAACAAAAAAAAAAAAAACATTTTATTAATTTATCTATGTGAGAAAGACAGTAAAGGGTCAGAGGACAACAGGCAAGAGAGGCTCTTTCCTTCTACCACGTGGATTCTGGGGAGGGAGCTCAGGCCACCAGGTGGGGTTCATAAATCTCTCAGCAGCTTGCCAGCTTGCCAGCCTGTCAGCCTGGATGGATAAGTACTTCTTAGAGCCTTGTACACCCTAACCCAGGAATGGAGGAAGTTACTTTTGTAACGTCTTTACTTTTGTGCTAAACACATAGATTCTGAAAGTCTCTGCTTAATGAAGCACATTTTAACAGTTGGAAGGAAATTTAACAAATCAATTTCAATACAAATTTTATCCCAAAGCTGGATTCCAAAGCAATGCATTCGACAGCAATTCATCAGGAGTTTAGTATAGGCGCCAGAGAAGATATCTGGGTTAAGAGTGCTTACTTCTCCTGCAGGTGGCAAGTCTGGTTCCCAGCACCTAAGTCAGGCAGCTCACAAACAAATGAAACTCCAGTTCCAGGGGAAGCCACACCTTTTGGCCTATGTAGGCACCGGCATACATACACATACATAAAAGCTAATTCTTAAAAAAGTTTAAAGATTCAATGTTGACTGCTGGAGGTGACACAAATATGCTTAAATTATAAACTCCGTCAAAAATTCTATAGGATGCCCCGAAGTAATTATGGGCTGTGAAACAGAATGCGTGAAAAATAAAATAAAGAATAAAATTCTAAGACAAAAATAGCAACAGGTAAATTCCTTCAGAGAATACGAACATGTATCTGGGCTAGGCAAAGCACAAGGATTCGATTTTGGACATGTCACAAATAAATAGAATTTCAGACAATGCCAAAGGGCCACACTCCAATGACCTACACAAACAAATGCCATTTCCAACAACACTTCCCCGAAAGTCTCCACTTGCAATGCTTGTTTTCCTGATGTTCAGTCTCCGGACATTCAACTTTTCCACCAGGGCTGTGCACTCGTTTTCCTCTGCATGGAATGCCTTTCCCCAGGTATCTCTCTGAAAAGCTGCCTTACTTACCACGTTCAATACTTTGCTGAAGAGTTACTTCTTGGTGAGAAAGTACCTGGCTGCAGTATTTTAAATTATCATCCTCACACTCCCTACTTTGCCTTTCTTTAGTTTTTCCACATCATTAATTACTATTAATACCTATAATATCATATAGGTGGCTATTTATTAGCCACGTCTGCACCCCCTACAAAGCAAAAGGTAGACGTGTTTGTTTGCAGTGCTTACATGTGGCAGACAAGAAGTAAACAGTCAATGACAAAGTGATGGCGGAATAAACGAATGAAAGATAATGTCTGCCCAAGGGTTGCAGCCTAGTGCAAGAAGCAAATAAACAAATTACTTTCAATTATTTCTGAAAGAAAGTCTGTGGTTGGGGAAATCCAATTTGTAAAGACAAAGAACAGCTTCTGGTGCTGGTGCACCTCCTCTGCCCAACCAGGGTGCTTTTACATCTCTTCCAGCATCCTCCCTCCAGCAGCGCTGTCAGTCAGGCAAGGTCCACAAAAATGGCACCACGGCTCCTTCAGCTGCCCTTCCCATGTTAGCCTTCACTACTACCTAAGGATTAAAGGTAAAAGGCAGTTCTACTTCCACCGTTGAAAATCAGGAAACTATATTTCGAGATTTCCAAGTTAAATTCATATTGCATATGCTTTAAGTCTACCTATAGTACTGATTACCAGGATATAATGAGCAAAGCCAAGGGACCTATTATTCTGAATAATGTCTAATAATGTATTCATTCACTTTACATCCCCCTGAATAATGTTTAATAATTAATTTTATGATACTAGGCATTGAGGCTACAACCCTGAGGATTCTAGACACACTATCACTAGCCCACCTTTTACTTTTTATGTTGAGACAGCGTCTCACTAAATTGTACAGGCTGGCCTTAAACTCAAGTTATCCAGGCATTCAACTTCCGATACTCCTGAGTAGCTGGAATTACAGGCCTTCACTATCAAGCCAAACCAGCTACTAAATTTAAATATGAAAAAAAACCTTTTCATTTTGATTCTATATTGGGATATACTTTTTCTACACAGCAAATGGACTCAACAAGGGCTAGTTAACATTTTAGGCAATCACTTAATGATGGCAAGTTAACAGCATTGCTTTCCTCAGAAGGAACAACTAGAATTTTATTTCGGCTTCAAGAGTGATCTAGAATTTTTAGGCAGACCATTAGCACTTAAGTTATACTACATTAAAAACCATGCAAAAGTAGAGCAAAGCAACTTAAGAAAATGAAGCAGCCCCGTTTCTCACTTCAACCAACACCTCCACAGACTGCATTATCACTTTAGGCAAACTGACATTTTCACGGTTCATTTTTAATGGCAGGAATAATTTCCATCTGGGGCCATCCGCATAAAGTGCTGGTCTTGGCACATTTTCAACACTAAATGTCTATAAGCACAACACCCCAAGACAGCACCACAGCTAGGCAGCTCACGTCCACTCTCCAAATGACAGCTCAGTGTATGACCTAGCACTAGCTTTGCCCTCAGGTAAGGCATAGAAACAGATTACCTCTCCTAAATCGTTTATAAATTACCTTCGAGACTTTAAAGTCATCTGCTCCTAGCAATATTAAACTGTTCACAGTTCTAGAGGAGAACTTTCACAGATGGCATTTCGTTTAAACTAAAACTCGGGGGGAAATGCCCTTATGCCTTGCTTTAAAAAGAATAGCCATACCAAAATGAAACGGTTATAAAGCCGAGATACAGAATCCCTTTCCAATGGGTCGGCCACTTAGGCTACCAGTTATTTCAAGAGTAAATCCGGACAGCAGGTTAAAAAGCCCACTAGAAAAGTCAGGCCCCCACTTAATTCTTCTTCAGTTGCCACCTGGAAGTCACAGCCAGCTTCGGGTGCTTCCGTCTGGAAACGGGGCCACAGCGGCCAGGGCGTGCGGCGGGCCAAAGTTGCTGAGCCCGGCGAGGGTTAGGGCGGACACGGTGGCCCGTCCGTCCGCGGCGGGGAGTGGGGCTGGGAGCGGCGCGGCCCGGTGTGGGGCAGAGGGGCCGGGCAGGTGGGCAGCGCCCCTCGCGGCGAACGAGCGGCGGGCGGGGAGTGGCAGCGGCTCCCACCGCCCCAGCGGCCGGTCAGCGGCGCGCGGAGGCTGGCGCGGGAAGGGCCGCGGCGTCGCGAGGGTCGCTCGGGGGAAGCCGCTGGGCGCTGCCGCGCGCCGGCGGTCGCCCTCGCCCCGGGGTCGGCGGCGGGGGCATACTCACGTAGGGCTGGTAGAACTTGGAGAGCCGCGGCTTCCCGTGGTTGTTGAAGATGAGGATGGCCTTGATCATGGCTGGGCCGGGCCGACCGGGTGGGCGCTGCGGCCAGGGCGGGGGCGGGCGCGCGAGCCTCGCCTCCGGGAGCTTGCCTGCCGCTGCTTCCCCACCCGCCCCCTCCCGCACGCGCGCGCGCGCTCCCGCGCCGCGGGGCGGGGCCCGGAGGCGGGGCCTGGGAGGGGCCGGCCAGAAGGAAACGGAAGCGCGTCCGGGCCGAGCCACCCCGCCGCAGAGGGTGCATGCTCACCCGGCCGTCCCGCGGGTGCTCGTCGCGGAAGCGCTCCCGAACTCGCCGCGACCGGATGGACAGTCGCTCCTGCATGAACTGCGGTGTCTCCAACGGGCGATCTGTATGCACTGCTCTCCAGACACCCCAGAGTTCTCTGTTGATCCGGGTAGCACTCCTGCCCGCCGCCTGCTGAGGCGCTTCGTGGAGCAAGGCCCAACCCCTGCACGCCGCTACCTCACTTCCGCCATCGATCTCAGCCAGCGAAGATGGCGGAAGATCCAGAGGCCGTGTTGCAGCTTCCTTCTTCAGCGGCCGGGGCCGGCGGCGAGAGCCTTTCGGAGCTTTCCCCAGAGACAGCCACCCCCGAACCCCCATCTTCGGCCGCAGTCTCGCCGGGGACGGAGGAACCTCCCGGTGACACCAAGAAAAAAAGTAATGTCAACATCCGCGCTTGGGCGGAGGCAGGAGACTTAGTAGCGTTCCTAGGAGTAGTGGCCCCAAAAGAAGCAAAAGCTAAAGAAGGGCGCGTCCCAGAAGTACCCTTTCTCCTCTTAGAATGAAACAAAAGTGTTAGACCTGAGGAAAAAAAAATTTGCACGACTCTCTGATGAGAACAAGCTATATATTTAGAAGTGCGCAAGGAACAGGCTAGATGACTGCCTCCCCCTAAGTCGGGGTTTCAGAGAGCAGCCTCTCACTGGCTTTTGAGGTCCCTTTTATGGGCGAAGGTTGATGGAAAACAGCTGTCAAAGATAATTGGATGTTAGCACCCGGACAGAAAAGTAGGGCTGAAGGCTGCCTGTTGGGTAGGTGAGAAGGTGTAGTCATCACAGGTATACATAGGAGTTTAGCAAGGCAAAGAGATGGGTATACGTCATGAGGTTGCAAGTTCAGCGTGGGTTCAAAAACATGGTTTTCAGGATACCTTAGGTTTAGGAAGCAAAAACTGGTTCTTGTAAGGTATGGAGACATAATAACATATAATGTAGCTTCTGTTACCACTTTTGAGAGCCTAGGGGACCCCGGTACTACCCGGATCCACCATCCTTTGCACCTTCTACAGCATCTGATCGCTGAGGTAGTCAGTCTTCGAGCCCAGTGGGTTCACAGTAGCTCCAGGAACTTAACACAATACTAGTTACTGGAGTAAAAATGTAAGGCGACAGAAGTAACCGGTGGGTTACAATCCACGAATTCGCTAGGGGCCTCATTCTTTGGGTCAAAAACCTGGAGCTTTAGACACTAAAGAATGCTAAGGGAAAACTAAAGGTATACATGTTGCCTTTGTATTAACTTTTTATTTATTTGGGGTGGGTCGTGCCTTTGTGTGTCAGAGAATTACCTTAACCAGCTATCCTCAGCCTCTGTTTTAGGGATGTGCCTTCCACTGGCAAGAAAGGAGAGTCAGGTTAATTTGCCTGACCACTATAAAGTTAAAGTTGATTATAAGAAAAAATCAACAGATAAGCATGTTTCAATAGAAAAAAGAAGATCTTCTCCTTAATTGTTCTCCTTTCAGAGACATGAAATGTAGATGTGGGTATGTTTATTATTCCTTAGTTTCACCAGCTTGTTGATGCTGTACAGGAGGAGAACTGTCTGCCAGCTCTGCTCCTGGGGGATGCAGCTGTATATAGCTCAGTAGTAGAACACTACAGATGGTTTCAGGGGTTCAATCCCCAGCTCATCAAGGAAGAAAAAATAGGCCAACTTTGCATTTGGAGGAGATCTGTCACATGTACGTGATGTACTATAAATATTTGGACAGATAACGACTGTTAACTTTTTAAAAATCCTAATTTTTTTCTTTCAGTAAATGTATTGATCTGACTTTCAAAGGTTTCCTTTAAGATGGAAACATCAAACAAAGTGGTGAAGTAATACTCTTAATCCCAGCACTCGGGAGCCTGAGGTAGGCAGATCTCTGGGTTCAAGGCCAGCCTTTGCCCAAATGAATAAAAATCTAAATGTCTAAGTCAAAGTTTTAGTCCGTCACACTGATGATTGCTGCACAAAACCCCCAAAACAACCTAGAAAATGACCCATAATCCAAGATATTGCCTGATAGGACTGTTTAAGTCCATGTTTTTTTCTTTTTTTTTTTTTTTTTCTTCCCACAAATTGAATTCCTGTTTTTAGTCTTTTTTTAGACAATTTGATGAAAGGGCTTAAATATTTCACATTTCCACTGTAACTTACAGAAGAAGGGTTGTTGAAACAGACTGAGGTTGTTGGCCCTGGTAGCACAGTATTACAGTTGTGCTTGGCCACACTTTTGAATATCAGTGCTAAGGTCCTACTTTATAAAAGATTTAAAACTCAAGTGCTGTCTATGTTAACTGTCTCTAGTTGATTGTAACGTGTGGCCATGCTTCTGAGCTACAAGCAAACCAGTTTTGGAATTAAGACTATAGCTGTAATTATTGTAAGTACTTCTCTAGCTTCTTGCCCTCTGGCTCTTGTTTCTTCAGTAGTACAACTCAGTGCCTAATTGCTGCTGAGTTACTAATTCCTCCAGGGGGTTGAGGGAACTGGGAGGAAGGAATGAAAGGTAGCCTAAAAAAAAAAACCTATTTTTTCCTTTCCAACTCATCCTTATTCCCAAAATAACTGAAAGGATACTTACATAGCTGTAAGAGCTCTAGGAGCCCATGTTTTATTTCAGCTCGCCGAACAACCTGTGTAGGCCAGGCTAGCCTCACAGTCCCAGAGATCCACCTACCTCTGCCTCCTAAATGCTGGGATTAAAAACCTCTATCACCACATCTGGCTTCAAGACAAAACGTGGATAAACTGATCCCAACTTTGAATACCAAACAAATGGGGAAAAGTCTGGTAGCTGTAGAACAGTTCTTTCAGGGCTGCTTTTTGGTTGCTTTTATTGTACGTAGCACTTAAAGGAAAAGAACCATCATTAAGGAGATCAGTCTTGGTTCACATCTTTGTATGTCGAGTCTTTGAAACTTTTTTGGGCCCCAATTATATTTTTTGAAAATAGTAGTAGGATTTCTTTTAATTATAAAGTTAAGTATAAAACATTTGGTATTAAAAAAAAAAAACACCTGGTATTTACAAAAAGCCATATGTCACCACTATGAAAACATTTTGGTGTGTACTCTATGCTAAAATGAGTATGTGTTTGTGATGCTTTCTTACTGAAGTTGAGGTATATACACATTTTCTATTTTGCACATTTTCTCAACTTCTTAAACCATTAACTGCTTTTATAATCCGTTTTTAAACAGCTATTTAATCTTAAGGTTCAATTAGTAAAGGTTATGGTCTGCAGTGTTGTGTACATACATTAACTCACTTAATCCTTGCATCACTGCTCTGAGGTTGGTGCTGTTACAGAGATTTGAGAATGAAAGATTACAGTGCTTGTAGCTCTACAAGTGCCAGAGCCACAGTCTGGACCCAATTTGGAATGTGTTTTTTCTCTATAAATTCTGCCGTAAAGCATCTCATATTTTAATCTTATATGTGTGTGTTGAACATGTAAATTTACTGCGTTTTTTCTTGTAAAAATAAGTGCTTTGATGAAGGTGACATCCTTCTCCGTGAATCTTTGCAAATCTCAAGCTTTTCAATTCTTAGTAGTATATTATTGAGTCAGGCTGTATCTAAGTATTAGATATGTATTACCATACTGCTCTCCAGAACATTATGCCACATCACAGTGGCAACAGCACTACCACCTGTATAGTCACCTTTCTTTTACCACCACTTTGGTAGATGAACGGTACATAAGGCTCTTTTCTTGGCTGCTTGGGTATTGCTTTATATCATGGGCCAGAATTACGCTGTGTCAGAGTGTCTCATAAAGATTAATCCTGTAGGGAAAACTTTGTAGGATCAAGGGGGGAAATAATGGAAAAAGAGTCTAATCCTTCTGTATCTCTAGTGTAGCTCCTCTTTGTCAGAGATGTAATAATTACATAACTTATGGAATAAAAAGTTTAAGCTTTCTGAACTGTTTGACATCTCATCAGATGTTTCGATACAGTTGTCTTTTTTTTTTTTTTAAGTTGATATCCTGCTGAAGGCTGTAGGAGATACCCCTATAATGAAAACAAAGAAATGGGCTGTAGAGCGAACTCGAACCATCCAAGGACTCATTGACTTCATCAAAAAGTTCCTTAAACTTGTGGCCTCGGAACAGTTGGTATGAAAACAGAAATGATTGTTTGCCTATGAAAATTCACAATAGTTCCTAGGCAACTGCTAGTAACACATGTACAGAAATAGATACAAAGCTACACATTGCTTTTGTTCTTTCCTCTTATGCTTTTTGTTGGTGAGGTAATGTGCTTTATCAGAAGATTCTTTAAGAAGCTCTGAAATGAGATAAATTTGGATTCACTTTGTTATCTATTGCAGTTGTTTTCTTATTTTATGTTTACCTCTGGTGGTCTTGGCATGTGCATGCAGAGGTCAAACAATACTTGAAAGTGGGTCCTTCCACCATGGTTCTGGAAGTATTGCAGGTCATCACTTTGGCAGAAAGTGCCCTTACTCCGTCAGTCATCCCGCTGGCCTTTCTCGTTATCTTTATTATTACTATCACTGCTTTCCAGGATTTTTTTTAAGCCTGGCATTTTAGTTATTCAAAATATCACTGAATATCTATACAGAAATATTTGTCATAGAACATTATGTTCTCTGCACTTCAGGAAAGTTTGGGGCTTAATATACTTTGATTCAGTATTAGACTTCTTCCACTGTTGTTGAAGTAAGCAATGTATCTTTCACATGGTGTAAAGCAACTAAGGGGCGTATACTTATTTCATAGTGTAGTATATAGTAAGCACTTCATTGGGCTATAGTTGTCGTAAGGGTTTTGTTTCTTTGAAGAACTTTGGTTGTCATGTTTCATTTGCCATCTGTGTTGTTTTCCTGAGACAGTTTAATCGGCCTAACGTTCACCAATTAGGCTAAGCTGGCTAGCCAGTAAGTCCCAGGGGTCCTCCCGTATCTTATCTCCCCAGTGCTGAGATTACAAGCATGTTCTACTATGCCTAGCTTTTTGTGGCTTATATGAGGGATAGAACTGAGGTCTACATTCTTGCCTAACAAGCACTTTACCAACTGAGCTGTCTCCACATCATTTAACAGTGGGGACATTTTGAGAAAGTCATTATTAGACAATTTTGGTTTTGTGTGACTATCTTAAGACTATGGTTATGCAAACTGAAACAGCACATCACATGAAGACAGGACCATGATCTTACAAGACCATAATCTTGTATGCAGTCTCTGGTTAACTAAATCATCACTAAAGCACATAGCTAAGTTTGGCATTATCTGTAACTTGGCAGTGTTTTATATTTCAAATAGTCCCATGAGATATTGTTTTTAGTATCATTCATAAACATAGGATAGGCCATGAAATGTTATTTGTGTTTAGGGCCAGGACTCTTAACTGCCTCATTCAGTAAAAATGACAGAAAAAAATAACCAATATTTGTTGTATAAATGATACCTGTTGACCAGCTGTTCTCCTGTTTCTTTCAAAAAGAGAGAGAGAGAGACAAGATTGTTAAACCAAACATATTTTATTCTTAAATCTTGAGGTGAATGTTGAATGTTACCTACCAGTTTTCTTCTATTTTCTAAAAAGAAGGTGATCAAAAGCCTTCCTGGCACTGTTACCTTTGCTCTAATATCTTTAGGAAATTTTTAAGTACTAGAAATATTTTAATTTAAAACAAATTAAACTGAAGTCTGAAACAATGAATTATTTTTGTCTGCAAGTAATCTAATACTAGAAGTGTACAGCTTGAAGGTTCAGTACCCCTGAAAATTTTCAAAAGTTGTAAAGGCCAAAAAGAAAAAGATATGTAAGGAAAATGCCCAATATCAAATATATCGGTTTTTACTTGCATATGTGAAATAATTAGAAGAAACATATTTTATTGTGACTCAGTGGGAACTTTTTTCTTCTTATGGTAGCCTCACTGTGTAGTCAGGAAAGCCTTGAACACAAGGGCAGTCCTGCACACGTGCACACAAACCATTTAAAACTGTCTTAGTTACAAAAAGCTGGGAGCAGGGTCCTCTATTTTAGGATACCAGTTTGAGTCTATTTTCTTTTTACTTCCGTATAGTTTATTTATGTGAATCAATCCTTTGCCCCTTCCCCAGACCAAGAAGTTGGAACTCTATATGAGGTAAGTAACCTTTTGCCAATGGATACCATGTCTATTGTATAGTGAGGATTATTAATTCACATTTATAAGAGATACTGTGCCATCTTAATTATCGATGGGGGGCGAGAACCTTGTTCTGTTATATCCGAAACACCTTGAACACAGTAGAGTGTTAGTAAGCTTAAACAGTCAGGGGATAAGTTCTATTTAAAAGTCATCTTTTGCTTTTCTTAGAAATCTTGTCTGATCTGTATCACTTCTGCATTGTTTGTTACCGTCTGTGGTTGAGATCACCAAACAATTGATAAAACTACACTAGAATGACCTCGTTCCACAATGCTCCTTCATGGCAGTAATCATTTTTAGATAACTAGCACTGCTGGGAACGAGCTAAAATTTACTTTATCTTCAGAGATATGAAGGCGGTGAAAGCATTTAAGCCCATACCCAAGGTACATTGGTTTTGTTGAATATTTATTATTACTTGTATGTGTGATATATAGAGGCATCTTTTGGAAAAGGTAGTATGTTTATAGAACTCTTTCTTTTCTGTAATGTATTTATGGATTTTTTTTTTTATAAGTGCTCTATCTGCATGCCAGAAGAGGTCATCAAGTCCCTCTATCATGAGCCACCATGTGGTTGCTGGAGATTGATCTCAGGACCTCTGGAAGAGCAGCCATGGCTTTTAACTGCTGAGCCATCTCACTAGCCAAATAGAATTCTTTCTTAATATAACAGAATTAGTGCTTAATATGTTGTCTTTTTCTTTTTTGTAGTGTTTTGGCAGTGATGGTAAACTGGTCCTACATTACTGCAAATCACAGGCATGGGGATGAGCCACAAAAGAACAACTTGATATTTTCACAGAAGAAAAAAACTCAGAGAAGTTTTGATGCTGTGGGGAGAGACTTAATGGCTACCAAATATTCAGCATGAATCTGCTCTGACTTATGTTTATGTGTAAGAAAACATCATAGAGTAAATGGACTAAAAATAAGATATGTGCTACCATAAAATCGTCTTAAAAATTGACATTAGAGTATGCCCATTACCCCCACACATTCCTGTTTGAGATCTGCCTCCGAGATTAGAAAGGAAACTGGAATTCTGTATCCATTGCAGGTTCTCAGATGACAAGTTATTTACTTTAGAATTGGTACTGTGTTGTTTCCATGGTAAAATCCAGTTTACTAGAATTGGTACTGTGTTGTTTCCATGGTAAAATCTAGTTTACTGAAGGGTTTGAATTTTGAGGTAGTTTTGCTTTTTAACTTACTGGGGGAGCCTGTTTCTTTGGAATATGGAATGTTTACATTTATCTGTGTTGCTTTGTATAATCAAGTGCACTGATTTGTCTCGCTACCTTAGGTTGTCCAGTAGAGGGCAGCCCCGTTGGCAAAAAGGTTTCACAGTTCTGACGTCTTTGCCAGAGTGGAAGAAGGACTGTTGAACCTAATTTCTAGTTAATGTGTAATCAGGAGAGCAACTGTGTTGACAGACTAGAAGGATGTGCATAGTTTAAAATTAATCAAGCTGGGGAACAGTTTCATATATTGTACCCAAGAGTCCCCAACTCTTTTTTAAGTCCTGTCATTTATGATTCTTGAGCCTCATCCCAGGCATTGTAATACACACTTGTAATCTCAGTGCTCAGTAAACCTGGGCCAGAGACTCAGGAGTCTAAAACCAGACTGAAATGCAAAAGAACTTTTCCCAAAAAGATTCTTAAGCCCTACCCTGTGTATTCCACTGTCACTTACCTGTGTCAAAGAAGCTGACTTGGTACAGCAGGCAACCTCAAGTTTACCGATTCACCCCACCCTCATTTCTAACATCTGAATTGTAGTTTGTGTTTCTGCAATGCTGAGCATCATTCCAGTGTCTTGTACACTTGAGGCCAGGGCCCTGCTGAGCTCTATCTCTAGCACTCAATTGAGTGCTTCCTAATGTGTTCTCCAAGTTGAAAGCATTCAAGGCTAATGATTGAAAAATAGCCTCAAATTTTATGTGTATTCCATGCCATCACACACAAAAAAAGAGTGTAACTGTCACTGTGCTGATAGATTGGTCACTGCTTGAAGTAAGATTTAACTTTTTCCTTATGTGTGTTATATGTCTTTTTGTTTTATTTTTTGAGACTGGGTCTTACTATGTAGATCTGCCTAGTTGGAAACTCACAGAGACCTGTGTGCCTCTTGAATGCTGAGATTGAAGGTATGGACAACCTTGCCTAGCTCCATATGTGTCTTAAAGATTTCCAGCTAGAACTAGACATGGCAGTGCATAGTTAACCTAGCATTCAGGAAGCAGAAGAAAAAAGACTGAAAGTTTAAGACCAGTGTGGGCGACAGAGTGAGATGGGATTACAGGATTTGAAGTATGTAAGAATTCCAAGTGTTTGCTTGCAAAGGTGATGATAGAAATGTATTTCTCATCAAAAATATTTGAGGACCTATACTACCCTTGTTTTTGTTTTTGCGACAGGCTGTGTCACTCAGGCTGACCTGAAACTTGTGACTAACCTGCCTCAGGCTCCTGGGTGCCAGGCTTACAGTTGTGCACCACTGCACCTGGCTCGTTTTTAACTCTTAAACCCTAGAGTGTGCTTTAGGGCCGTACTCAGCCATGTGAACCATGAAAGATGCTGTGTAACGACACAGTACAGTGCTGTCTATTTCTTGTCTTCTGCCCAAGAATGTGAGTTCTGGGCATCCCCTTTATCAGCACCCTTGGAGTGAGTTAATGCAGGTAATAGTTTACAGAGGAGTGATATGGACAGTGAGTTACACAGAATACAGGCTTAGAAAACACCTTTCATCTTGAAAGCTGGGAAGTACTGATTTTTGAGCACTGTCAATTAGATAGGGAAAAGATTTGCCCAGTAAGAGGTTACTGAAAGAGCATAATGGTAGATATTTAACAGGAAAAAATATGTTAAACTTATTGTTTGCTGATGCTTGTTTGAGATGACAGAATGCTTATTAACTCTACGAAATAAAAAATAAACTTGAGTTTAAGTCTGTAACATTTTTACAGGAATAACTTACTGCCACATCAAATCAAAAGTTAACTAAATATGTATACCTTATTTGTTTTCTTCCACCAGTAGCCTTGAGGAGTGTGTAGGGCTGTCTAGGAGTCTAACACTAAGAAAGTTTTATCAAACTGTTTTACATTGTCTACTGGTCTTTGCCCAAATAATTTTCAGCACTGATGTTATAACACTTGTAAGCTGGGAGCCTGTGAGTGATGGAATGACTGAACAGCTTAAAGTATTTCAAGTGCAATTGAAATTTAGGAGGAAAGAGGACTGAACCTTTAGTTTGTATTTTCACTTTTCCATGTGTATGACAAGTGTAATGTCACACTGTCTTACTTTGCAGAACCATGGCAGTACACAAAGTACACATGACCTATGTAGAATATCCCACTTCTCTTAAAATTATGTATGCTAGGGATTTCATAATGAGATTTTGACTATTTAGGACATAAAGCAAGTTAAAGATTGAATTATCACTAATCAAAATAAGATTGGATACTTCCTGGAGTCTGATTTTTTTAGACATTTTAACCTGAAAGGGTTTCTAGTGGTCATGTTCTCTAACCAGATGAGAAAATTGAAAATTGTAAACTCTGCCTGCAGTTACAGAACATTAGTCGATCAGTTGCTTGTGTGACTTACAGTAGGGCCGTATTACGTACTGCAGGAAGGCAGAAATGAGAATGGCTTGTTATGAAGCTTCCGCTTCATATTCCACGTATGTATATGCTGGATAAGCTTTGGTCACAAAGAAAGCCAACTGCATGCCACCTAATGACAGGAAACTCAAGAACTCAGGTTTTGTCCTGCTAATACTCCCCTCCAGGGATTCACTGACACCTTCATTCCTCCCAGCCCTGACTCCTTTGACATGTGGTAAGAAGTTAGTCTTGCTCTTCTTGGTGGGTGGACTGTGGGTCTGTGCTTTCAGTTTTCGGGGATCGTGATGCCAATATCCAAAAAACCCTGAAATGAAGTGTTAACTTTGATCCATGACACTTGCTGTTGAGTAAGCAGCTTTTCTTATTTGAATTTAAATCTTAAGAGTTAGGGGGTGTTGGGTTTTTTTGTTTTTGTTTTCTTGTTTTGGAAGTAATGGAAAGTGGAAAAAATATTGGATGATACTGGTTTTACTTGTTTTCTTAGTTTTAGTGCATGAAAGATCAAATGTGAAAGGCCATGAGGAGAATCTCAGAAGAATTTAACTCCCATAGTTCCTTTGACATCACAGGAAATGAACACGAATCCTACCATTGCTTACTTCTAGTTTTCAGGAAGTGCTCTCCAGTTTGGGATAGGTCTTTTTGTTACAGAACTACCCTGATACATGCTAGTCTGGCTCTCCCATGTGTTCACAGGTACGGCATCTGCATTCAGAAAGCATGCCATTCCTCCTTTCTCCAAGTCCAACTTGTGAGTCTCTTAGCATCTTCACTCATCTTCCAAACCAGTTCTTCTGTCTGCAAATCCTGACAGCTTTATATTCAGAACCTGTTCAGCTAGTTCAGCTAGTTCTCATCTCTTCTATCTCCTCTACCCCTGCCAAGCCCATTGGATTTGCAGCCCTCCACCCTTCTCTACAGTCTGCCAATCACGTCCAGTCTATGCTCTCCTTCACACATTAAGATTGTGTCAATCCCAGCCAGGAGCAATGGCGCATGCCTATAATCCCAGCACTTGGGTAGGCAGAGGCAGGTGGATCTTTGTGAATTTGAGGACAGCCAAGGCTACATAGAGAAACCCTGTCTTGAAAAACAAAACAAAAAAAGATTATATCAATCCCAAGGATTTTTGCACTTAGTGTCTTCTCCACTTAGAAGTGTCTCCAAGACAGGTGCATCTGACATCTCTGGTCCTGCTCAAACAACCCTTTTAAGGAAGTTTCCCCCAAACACCATCTAAATTGGCAAGGCCTCACTGCCTGGCTTCCCATGCTTTATATTTCTCTGATAGGTAAATATACTTCCAGTGCCTGTCCATGTCTCCATGTGCACTGCTGTGTATCAGCCCTCCCTTTAGACTATAAACCATCTCATAACAGTGGCCTAAAACATGGAATTTAGGACTGGAGAGATGGCTCAGTGGTTAAGAGCACTGACTGCTCTTCCAGAGGACCTGGGTTCAATTCCCAGCGCCCACATGGCAGCTCACAACTGCCTATAAGTCCAGGGTCCAACACCTTCACACAGAATACATGCACTTAATCAATGCACATAAAAATAAATAATTGAAAAAAAAACATGGAATTTGGGTTGTGTGGACAGTGCTTGGCTCAGAGTATCTGCCTTGTGAAATGTATTACATTTTGTGGGTAAACAATGTTTTCAGAATTCTAGTACTTGTAGGGTCTTTGAGTGCTGTCCACATGCCAGTGTCTTAAAAAGCTACAATCTTGCCCTTAGCAAATCAACATAGTAGAACTGCATGGATCTTGACATTTTGCATATATGTATATAATGCTATTAAACTATCAGAAGATAAGTTATACTATTCAGCTCTTACGAAGAATTCTGGTTCCCTTTACTAAATTTTAACTCAAGTCCAGGATTGCTGGGGGAGGGGGCCTGAATTGTTCTAACCACTTACTCGGGCTTCTTATCAGCATTTGTGCATGCTCCCCAGCATTCACAAAGCACTGTGTACTCTACTGAAGATAAAGGGCCATAATACCATGCAGCCTGAATGTCCTAAGTGTGCCAAGTGGTGGAGTTGGGGGTACTGAAGTTTATACCTTTAATAATCCAAATCACAGTGGAATGAAAGAATATGTGTTTTTGAATTGTGCTGTTAGGGCTTCCTTTTCAACCATGCATAATCCATGTTCTCAGAGCATTCTAGGTCCCGGGAGGTGGAACTGCCTGCTTTGTGCATGTGCCTAGACTTGAAGGATTCAAGTCAGGATCTTCTAAATGACTGCACAGTGACAAACACCCCCACCACTGAAGCCAAGTCCCACCAAAAGGCCTGTTCTTACTATTAGCTCTCTCAGCTCTTTGAACTGGATATATTTTACAAGGCACGGGAAAATCAAAGCACTCTTACTAGAAACTCAAGCACTCTTTGTCAAATCTTTCTCACGATATACTACTGCACGTTTACATTTAAAAAAAAATGTAAGCACTTGAAAGGCAGAGGCAGGAGGGTCTTTGAGTTCAAGATCAGCCTGATCTGCTACCAACCAGCCAGCGCAACAAAGGATTCTCAAAACAAAGAATTTTCACCAAGCCTGGAACATATATGAGGACCGTATACATTTACAGAATAGTCTCACTGGCCTGGGAACGGGTCGCATTGTGTTTCCCAGGCTTCTTAGCTGCATTTGTAAAAAGGTTGGCTCCTTTTCCTCCTCATCCCACCCACCCCTGCGCCCCCCAGGGATCTAAAACACAGTCAAACATTGAAAACTAAGCCCGGGAGGTGGGGTCGGGAAAGGGATAGGATAGCCGGCCAAAATCCTCCGCTAAGTGGGGGTTGGGGGAGGAGGAATTGTCCGGAGCTCACCGCAAGGACGGGGCAAAGGCAACAGTGTGGCTTCTGAGAGGGCTGCTGCGCACAGACAACTGGGTCCTGTGCCAGGGCCTGCCTTGTGGCGCTCTCCACCTCCAGCCCGTTTCTCGGGTCTCTCCCCGCCTCACTCCACCCCCTGAAGGCGGTTGGTACGTTCTAGATGACTCCAAGAGCTTAAAAAGGGCCCGGGAGGGCGGATTCCGCAGATTTGGTCTCGACCGGTCTGTGCACTAAGCGGCTCTCCGGTGACTCCCAGACCCGAGTCTTGATACCCTTGGGAGAGCTTTTAGTCTGGTGGGTCCCGGGTGTGTGCGACCATCTAGCCTGCAGCCCGGGTTCTCCGCGCTCGCGTCCTCCGCAGCCAGCCTGGAGAGGCGCGTCCCAGCCCTGCGGGGATGGAACGGACGGAGCTGCTGAAGCCGCGGACCCTGGCCGACCTCATCCGTATCCTGCACGAGCTCTTCGCGGGCGACGAGGTCAACGTGGAGGAGGTGCAGGCTGTGTTGGAAGCCTACGAGAGCAATCCCGCCGAGTGGGCTTTGTACGCCAAATTCGACCAGTACAGGTGAGCAGGCTCGCGCAAAGCTAGGTCCCCGCAGTTAGGAGGGAGCACCCCCCAACACACACACACTGGCTCTCAGGTTTTCAGCTGTCTCCCGCAAGACCCCGCCACCCCCAGCCTCTGACAAAGCGACACCCCACCTCCTTAGGCGCTGCTGGCACTGCGCTACGGGGACCCCTTCGCCACCTGGTACTCCCGGGCTCTGGTGGGGCAGACGCCTGGACCTGACCACAGACCGTTCAGAGATCACCCTGCCAACCATCTAGAAAAGGATGGTGGTCGGAGAAACAACCCCAAGTCAGTCACCAACCCTGGAACGCTTAATTTAACAGAAAACAGCGCCCGGGTTTTGCCAGCTGTTACTACTTCCAGTTCTCCCAAGCCACTTTCATCGCCCCATCGGAGAGTTAGTTCACCGACTGTCAGGTTTTGCAAATTGGGCACACTGTGACTTTTGCAGCCCTCAAGCCTTTGACCTTCTCTTGCTGTTGTTTCCCAGAATCTGGAAGGGAAAACTAAAGAAAGACCGCTACTTTCTGGACTTGCTTGAGTAAGGTGTCTGACAGGCTGGGACCTTTGATGTTGTAATTTAGGGATTAAGTCAGAACAATCAATCCTCAGGCCTCTGGGTCTAGAATAAAATGAGTCACTACGAGGATGAGAGGTTCCTGTGTGGGAGAGCAAATATCCGTGCCTGTGCTTGATACACTGGGGCTAGCATAAGGAAGCTGGCTGGAGAAAAGGATGGCTGGGAATGGGATGTTTTTCCTTGGAAGCCATTTCTTCACACCTAACATGCACAATAAACTTTTGTCAGCACAGACCATGTCATCTGTACTTTGAGACTTGTGAGTAGTTAAAAACTAAGGACAGGACCTGTGGCATTTTGTGTTTGGGGAATGGCCTTAAGGAATTTCCTTTCATTCCAGTCACTCCCGACATGTCTACTAGTTCTTAAATGCTGTCAGGTAACTGCCAGTTTGTGGGGCAAACGCTCCGCCAGTCACTTCACACAGTGTGAGACAAAGCTGTTCTTATCTCAGTTTTGCCAACAAAGACCAGCAGGAAAGAAGCTGGGCACCCTATACAAGGTCTGTTTCCCCATTAGGATTCAGGGGCTACACTGCCCCAGGGCCGCCTGGAGCTCCTTTGTCCTGAAAAACTTCTACATAACTCCATGAAGGTGTATAAGATAAAATCAAACATTTACCGAAAATCAAACATTTACCGAAAATCAGCCATAACAAAAAAAAATTTTTTGGCATACATATAAATGTGTCATTTATTAAGGACTAAAGCAAATATGCATACTAAAGAGATGGCTTGCTTGTTTACTTTATATAAAGAAATCTTGGTTGAATATTTTGATTTTTAACAAAAGATTACTTATCATGAAAAACAGTTGAGGCTGGGCATGATACTTGTACTTGGGAGGTGGAGGTAAGCAAGAGCAAACCCTGACTCCAGCCTGAGCTACATGAAAACTCCGAGAAGATGACCTCTGACCTTCCCAGCAGAGCCATGGCACACACATGACTAAATACTCATGAGATACACAATAACAATATTTTTTAAAAAGAGCCAAGATTGCTATGAATTTATGTGATGACTATGGCAAGTGTTGCCAGGTACTGATTTTATTTTAACACATTACATTTTATTTGGAATTATTTTTGGCTGTACATTCAGAAATCTTATACTGTTCCAATTTTCTATGGCTCCACATTCCTCTATGCAGGGCACAATTTAAGAAGCATGGCTTCTAAAACACGAAGCCTCTAGACCAGTGGTTCTCAACCTGTGGGCCACAACCCCTTGGGGGGGGGGTCAGATGATCCTTTCATAAGTGTTACCTAAGATCATCAAAAAGCACAGATATTAACATTACAGTTCATAACAATAGTAAAATTACAGTTATGACGTAGCAATAAAAATAATTTTATTGCTGGGGTAACTACAACATGAGGAATTATTTTAAAGAGACATACCATTAGAAAGGTTGAGAACCACTGTTCTACATGACAAATTCTATTATTACAGTAGCATATCTGGCTAGATAGTGCATTGTCCAAGTGAAATTAACCAGGTGTTCTACACACAGTTCCTGCTCTCTAGAACAGTGGCATTGCCAGGAACTTCTTGTTTGATCCAAGGCACAGCACATTAAGATAAAATAAAGTTCTGGGTGGGCTATAGAGGGAAGAAGAGAGGGAGATGGATGGCCAGAAGCAAATTCTATAGTGTTGTGATCCTTAGTGCTTAGAAGGGTTCAGGTCTGTGATCTGGGGGTTTGAAACAAGGCTGAGTGCGTTCCCGTATATCCAGACAGTGGGTTCTCTGGAGAAGTGGGGTGTTGCATAGGAACCCTGTTTACTATGACAAAGGCTGTGCGTACAGTCCTGTCCTAGGTCATAAGGAGCTCAAATATAAGGGAGACCAATAGCTAAAAAGAAAATAATAGGTCTTAGCAACTCTCTGGGGAGTCATGTCCTGCAAGCACCTGGCCCTGAGCTTGGGGGATGGTAGGAAGGGCTGGAGGAGTGCAGCCTGGAGAGCATGAGTTAACAGATGACTAAGTGAACAAACACTACCAAAATAAAAGTATACAATCCTCTCTATGCCCTTAGAAACAGCAGTCTAAAGTAAATGTCACAACTGTCCGGGTTTGCTGATCAGATGCTAACAACAGAACCATTTGGACCAAATTACAACTTGAGAGCTCAAGTGTGTCCTTAAAGTGGTTGTTTTGGTTTGGGTTTTTTTCTCCTGCAAATTATAATAGTAAAAGATTTCCTCTTCTGACCTAATGTAGCCTTTGTTCTGGTGCTCGCTTCCACCCTCAGCTCATTTGTGCAGAACTTTCCTTATGAGCGCTTTTGACTGCATTTGTGTCAGCACTTTAGCAGTAAAGTGGTTGAATCCTAGAACAGTCCTTTAATGAAACCTTGGTCCTCAAACCCTACTTTAGCTACTAGAAGGGGGGAAATGCCCAAAACAATAGCAACATTCTTTCCTGGAGTAGTTATGAACTTTCCAAATACCTTCCCTGAGAATGCTACTTTTTATTAGTTTGAGGCTGATAAATAAGCATGGAGAAACAAGAAATTTGCAGTATTTTTTTTCTCCGTTATCTTTTCATACCAGTAGAAATCACTGAGCAGCTACCTCAGTAAAGTCAGAGATTCAAATACAGAAAGGTCTGCATTTTAGATGAAAAAAAAAAAAAAGGTACAAAATGCCAGAAAGTAAAAACTCAACTGTTGAAAACAGTTTTCATTGGACTTCGAAAACCATGTTCAGGTTTCACTGAGGTAGAATAGTGGGGCTGGTCCATGTTCCTATGCACAGTGGGCTGCCTTCCACTTTGGAAGCATGAGAGCAGGCAGACCTTTGAATGGCATCTGCCATTTCTAGAAAATACATCTGGAGGCTAAGTACTGCTTTCTTTAAATAATGCCTCCCTTGTTCCAGGAAAAAAAAAAAATTATACTGAAGTGGCGCACAATTTGTTGGGTTAAAGGAAGCAAGCTGGTGATCATTATTTTTAGATGGCTGTGTGAGCAAAACTGAATTATAGACCTAATTCAGGAATGTGCATTAACATTCAATGGGTGTGAACTATTGGCAGTGGGAGAAAGTGAGTTTGCTTGTAGGAGTCTTTGTAGCTCTGTGGTCTATCCTTTCCTTGACAGCTTTTGAAAAGGTGAAAGATTGGTTTGCTTGGTTTGGGTTTGGCTTTTTGGTTGTTGTTGTTTCTGTTTTTGTTTTGTGTTGACTTGCATTTCCCTGGCAGGAGAGGAAGGAAGGGAACCTGTGGTCCGGCTGTACTATATGAGAGAAAATTGCTCACTTACTTACTTACTTAATTTTTAAATTAAATTAAATATTTAATAAATCTTTTTAAAAGAGCAAACCCTAAGCCCGACTGAACTTTTGTTTCTTTAGGTATACTCGAAATCTCGTGGATCAAGGAAATGGGAAGTTTAACCTGATGATTCTGTGCTGGGGTGAAGGGCATGGCAGGTAAGGAAACAGTCCCCTCACTCCAGGCATTCCTTTCGTGTGTCCCTCCTACCTGCAGGAGTTCTTTCTGACTTTCTGACGATCAGTGTATGTTTTGGCTGGGCATGGTGACACACACCTTTAATCCCAACGCAAGAGGCAAGTAGATCCCTGTGAGTTTGAGGCAGTTACAAAAGCCTGTGTCACTGCTATGAAGTAACGGACGTGCTGGTGTGTCCTCTGTGCTAACGTGAATACATGTTTGTGATACTTTCCTCATGAAGTTGAGGTTATACACACACTTCGGTTTTGCATGTTTTGTCAACCTCTTAAACTGTTAACTGCTTTTATAATGTGTTTTTAAACAGCTATTTAATAATCTCAAGGTTCAATTGGTCTAAGTTACGGTGTATACAGTGAGTTCTACTATAGCCAGGTCTATATAGTGGGGCTCTGTCTTAAAAATAAATCCATGTTTTGCAATGCTAGGAAACAAATGCGTGTCTCATGCGTACCCTCCAATGCTAACCTGTACTGTTAGTATTACTGGAATCCACAGAGTAGGGAGAAGAAGAGAACCAACTCTTACAAGATAACCAACTCTTACATGTGGGTGTACATGCACACAAACACACACAAATGTAAAACATGAAAATAAAAACAAGCCTCCTTCCCAAATCAGTAGTAATTCAAAGGAGGAAAATACTCACCTTAATTTAACCTCTCTGTCTATCACAGAGTTAAACTGTTTTTGGAACTATGCTTAACCCTGACCTTTGTGCTATGTGAGGTGTGTCAACAATTGTGGGACCAAAGACCAAGCTGGCAAGATTTGGAGCTAGAAAAACATGTCACAAATTCAGAAAAATTCTTTCTACTTCTAGTTAATTGTTTAACTTTTTTTTTTTAACCAGGAAGGCAATTTAAACTAATACTAACAGTTTAAGATGTGTCTCCTTGCCTTTAGTTTGTACACCTGTGAGCCTTGTTACCAACTAAATATTATTGTATTTTAAAACAGATTTATCAGATTTTTGTCAAACAATTACCCAGATTCATTTTTTGTGAGATGAAAGAAATGCAAAATTACACGGCTTTAGGATATTAGACCTATAGTGAACTCAGGTTGAAATGCACAATTGATCAAATGGTAGGTGGCAGTCAGTCATTCTCTCAGTATTTCTTGAAAACAGACTAGCAAGGATAAGGGTAGAGCCTGTTAGAAACAGTCCTTTTATGCTACATTTAAACATTAACAGAACTCAACATGATTTGAGTCCTAAAAATTATATACACTTATATATTTTAATCAACTTTGCAGCTATTATGACTTCATATACCTAACTACTGTTTGCTCTAAGATCAGATGAATAAATTCCCTTTTATTTAATATGCAGTTTGCTTTCCCTCACCAATAGCAGAAGATCATCACAGGGGAGGCTACTGTAAGATGTTAGCACCATGTGTACCTTACATCATCATTTCAAGATGATAAGGATGCATTTGCACACATATACATTCTCATACACACACAAAGAAGGAAGGAGAAAAGGCCTATGGGGAAAAACACAAAAGAAAATATCAAATGATTCTAATGTGGTTGATTATTATAGATGATCTATTTTGTTCTTTTAAAAATTTCTCTAATGAACCCCAAGTGTGTGTGTATGAGTCCATGTGTGTGTGTGAGTGTGAGTCTGTGTATGTATGTCTGTGTGTGAATGCGTGTGTGAGAGAATGTATGTGTGTGTGTGTGTATATGTATGTGTGTGTATAAGTCTGTGTGCATGAGTGTAAGTCTGTGTGTATGTGTATGTGTGACTCTCTATATGTATGATGCCAAAGATAAAATCCAGGACCTCACATGCCC